CTTTATGAGAAAATTAGGTACCTTTTTTTATTTTTTTACGATTCTCAATTCTTGATTTGTCAAATAACTGAAGTCATAGACCTCCTCCACCTAAACTCTCATATGTACAGAGAGTTCTATAACACATTTGATTTGTTTCATTGTCTGGTTTATCAGTCAATTTTTTCTTAAGAAAAGCTCTCACGGTGATGTCACGTGTTATATTTAAGTCTTGAAAAGTAATGTCTTTTGAGACGCCATTTGTTTTCTTCTGCAGAAAACAATTATGCATATTTTTTAACAGAGGTTTCAAATATATACGTTTTGATATTTTCTATACAATAACATATTTTTCTTAAGAGAAGCTCTCACGATGATGTCATATGTTATATTTAAATCTTGAAAAGTAATGTCTTTTGAGGCGCCATTTGTTTTTTTTCGCAAAAAACAATTATGCATATTTTTTAACAGAGGTCTCTAATATGTACGTTTTGATATTTTCTATACAATAACATATTTTTCTTAAGAGAAGCTCTCACGGTGATGTCATATGTTATATTTAAGTCTTGAAAAGTAATGTCTTTTGAGGCGCCATTTGTTTTCTTCCGCAGAAAACAATTATGCATATTTTTTAACAAAGGTTTCAAATATATACGTTTTGATATTTTCTATACAATAACATATTTTTCTTAAGAGAAGCTCTCATGGTGATGTCATATGTTAAATTTAAGTCTTGAAAAGTAATGTCTTTTGAGGCGCCATTTGTTTTCTTTCGCAGAAAACAATTATGCATATTTTAAACAAATGTCTCAAATATATACGTTTTGATATTTTCTATACAATAACATATATTTGTAACAGAAAACCAAATAAAAAATTTTGAAAATCGTGTTGGACAATTAGTAGAAAATGAAGAATCCCCTGAATTTTTACTGTTTTTAGAAATTTTAATAAACAACCTTTCATGGATCTAACGTTTAAGTTACTATTTTTTATTTTTGACCTGATTATATATGTCATTAATCATTTTATTTCTCAGTATAATTTTTGTCTTTGTTCTTTTATGCAATGTGGATCATTTTGTAAGTTGGTTATGTGCTAATTACTTATAGCATGTTAGATTAAATACTTCATTATACAATCAGCTCTTCTAGGTATGTGGTTGATATCGTTTTATAATATTTACAACACTAACACATAACATTATATATTCAAAATGATCTATGTGCAACGTACGTGTGCATCAACTAATACAGTAAAATGGTACTATAATGTGTTTGGACTATATTATAAGGTGAAAATTCTTGTATTCTCTATGTACATGTTCATACTGCTCAGAAATTCCTATTTTTGAAAATTTGTACTTTTTAAAATTCAATAATAGACGAAAATTTTCAAGTGGTATTAAAATTAGTTCAATAGTATAGGTAGATGATACTAAAATTTTGTATGCGGTATATAGGAATTTAGTATACCCCTATAAGTCATAGGAAGTAATTTTTGGCATCTAATGGTAAATATAAAATCAGAATAATTAATCTCCTCCCCAATACAGCAACCAAACAACACAACATATATTTTAATGGGAAATTGAACTTTGAGGGTCGATATTATAAAATCAATTACGTCCTCACATGTCAATATATCCTTAATTAAATATCAACCTTCTAGTTGGATGCAAGGATTATACAACTATCAATTACAATTACAATTATATACTGTTACACTTTCTCTTGAACCATAGTAATATTATTTGATCAGATTATTGAATCATTTATTTTTCTTGTTTTTTTTTTTTTTTGAAATCTCTTTAATGTTTCTTTCTACACGCATTTTTTCAAAGAGGTCTATAGTCATAATGCGGTATAGGGGGTTATATTCCATACGAATGTTAATAGTATACCACACAATTTCTAACGCTTCAAAAATTACCTTGGACAATATTACAATTTAAAATCATTCATATCATGAGAGTACTAATATAATCCATAAATAAATGGGATTTCATTCATCTTCCATAAAATATTTACAATATTACCCAAATTAATATGTCGAACCATGGCATTTACATTCCAAAAATTTAACTATTATAACGCAGCGGAATTACAAAAGAAAGCTAGACTTCACAATGTTTTAAAAATGAATTTCTTAATTTAGAACAAAGATAATGTTGCTCTAAACGTCCATCTCGGGATCCACGTTCCCATCTATAGGAGTCTTCCAGTGTGCTGGTTCATCCACTCCCAACTCCTCCTTTAGGACATAATCTGAAAAATATTATTTGTAGGGGGTGAGCACTAAGCTCTATAGTAACATTTCTCTCATACTCAAACAAGGTTTAGAAAAACATATAAAAATGGTCGGTCACCTTTTACAAATAGCATATATGAATTTTGAAATAAAATAGGGATAATTAAACAGATCTCAAGTTTAAGAAATAGCAGTAATTTAATGCATAAGTGAAACCAATATACAATTCATAATTCATTCCACCATAAATCGTTTCTTCCAAATTCTTGCGGAATCTCATATTTCCCAAGATTCTTGTAGAAACCATTTCTGGTACAATGAACAATAACCCACCACTGTATTCGTATCTCAAGTATGAAGTAAGATCTAGCATGGTCACCATCGAAAGCATCATGTCCCACACATTTACAAACACAAATCCTCACAAGGATATTCAACCTTTGGGAAGGGCGTGTGCCAACACCATGTCAGTGACGAATTCAACCCAGGCATTAGTATACTAATCTTCTGACATGGCACCTGTGAGCTAATAGTGGTTTGATCCTCGTTTGGCACCAACCCCACTACGAATAGTAGGATATGTTCAAACCCGCACGGAGTAAGAAGACTCCTATCCACTCCATGATACCCGATTAATCATAACCCATGTTTATCCAAACAACCACACAAGAGATACAATACAAACATTTCCATCAATAACAAACAATTTCCAAAACCCCCAATTCCATGGGTATTTCCAAGAGCACAAGTAATTTCAACAATCCCCAAATTTTCACATGTATCATTTCAATAGAACATTGAAGAAAAAGCAAAAGATCATCATCAATATCATTTTATTACTCAACACAAAGTACTAAGGTTTTAAATCAAGAACCAAGGAAGAATCAAAAGGAAAATTCATCACTCTTGAAAACTAGGGTTTTAAATCAAGAAAAAGAGATTTCATGGGTATTCAACCCTAACTTTGTTTAAAACATGATAATAATTGCAAGAACCCCAAGAATCAAAGAACCCATAGCAAATACATAATATTAGGAGTCAAAACATACATATATATTAGTACTAGCATTAATGGACAAGAATGGAAGAAAACCCCTACCTTGATGTTCTTGAAGAACTAGAGTTTTGATCTTGAATCAACTCTGAAATCTCTGATTTTTTCTTTTGATCTTGTGTTTTTCTCTTTCTCTTTAAAGCTTCCTAGGATTGGAAGTAGTGAAATGGGGTTAAAGAGGGCGTCCTAATGTATTTATAGGGTGAGAAACGGAGACAAAACCCGAAATCAGGTCGAACTGGGTTTTATAGAGCGTATCGGTACGCTGTACCGGTACACTTTGTTTGCTAAAACTTCCGGCACAGTTTTGGCCTATTTAGAGGTCGATTTGGAAAATTTTTGTGAAATACACTTTTGTAGCCTTAGAAGTCTACTATCTACTGTCAAAATGGCAGATCAAATGGAGTTTAGTATAAAAAGTTATGATCAAAATACTAGGCAGTGTCCAAGATCCTTTTTACCCAAATTCTCTCTAAAGTGTGCTTTAACTCCGGAACACTTTTTAACTTCTAATACACCCCATATTACTTCTCCCAAGGTTTCTTGACCTTCCGGATTCAATGAAATCTTATTTTGACATAAAAATGTTTTGAACTTACCTAACAACCTCTTCCAAGCTTAAATACCTTCGCAACTTAAACTTCACAATCAATTTGTCTCCCAAATATTTATTTCTACTGTTATAATCTATATTGTTCATTCTTACGTCATTACATATATTAGAATTACGAAATAATTATATCATTATATTAATATAAACATGTGAGGTTTACACAATTAGAAACACTAAGATCATATATCCCATATAATGAATAAAAGTAATGTTATTGAGATATAAAAAAATAATTTAATGATATATTAGTGACATGGTTCAATAATAATAGTGCAGTTGTAACTGTTGAATTTTTTTTATTGAAATTTTATCAAAGATACATTATTATGTTAGAAAATTTACTCATTTTTTAAAATTCTAGTAACTTTAATTAACTAATAATCAATACTAACTCATCAACACCTAAATTTTATCCTATATAAATTTAACTTGCCTAACATAAATGGACCTGTTCTTATGAAGTTGGACCACATGCATTTGATCCCTACTCTTTTAATCCTAATGGATGTAATTAGATTCTCTTATATATCATTTAACTCAAACTATTCCATATATGTGCAAATAAAAAAAAAATTACAAAACTTTATCCATCTTTATACCCAAAGATCAAAATTACGTGTCAGTGCATTATTTCGGTCACTTAAGAAACAGAAATATTTTGATTTATTTTCGTAATAAAATAGAAACAAATAATAAATTTGAGAATTATTTGTCTAAAATATTAGTTAAAATATATTAAAATATTTTAAAAATATCTTAAAATATTACGAAATTATAGTGTAAATACGCCGAAATATTTGAAAATATTATGAAACTCCTCAAAACATTATGAAACACTTTAAAATAGAAAAATTTTGATTTCATTAGTGATTTGTTTTAATTTTTTTGAAAATAACAACGTTTCAAAATAAAATTTGATTACCCGAATAAAGTCAAGATATAAGAGCTGACCGCCTCAAAGTAGGTGGGGAAGTATGACGCTATGTCAAAAATATTGGGGTTTTAGACAAATTAATGAAAAATCATAGGGTGTTTTGTTAAATATAACAACGAAGAATATAGAAGTTCCAACAACAAATATCTTAGTAGGGTTGTCGCGTTCAGCTAAAAGCACAAAGCTACTTTACTCTCACTCCTGCAACGACTGTTCTCTCTCTCCCACTCTCTACGAAGATCGTCGACGCTTTCATTGATTGATCGAGAAGGTCATTCCACTTTCTTCTTTCATGTATTCATATATACACATACTCTATTATTTCTGTATTGTGGCTAAATTTAGTAATAGGGTAATCCCGTTTGTTCAAGATTTACATAAATACTCCGAGGAAATGATAATTTTGATTGCATATCTCGATCAGCTTAATTGATTCTTTTGAGTTTATAAAGTAAATGGGTATCCATTAGAAACCCTTATATGCTCTGTTTGATTGCAGAGTAAGTTGTAGGAAAGGCAGATCGAGATAAACAAGATTTTTTTTATTTTCTTTTGTTTTTCGTGTATATTTTCAGTAATTTAGAGTGCCTTGTTTGGCTTGTGAGTTCTCTTGAAATTGTTGATAGAGTGTGTTTATTTTTCGATTCTTAACGTATTACATCATATTGCTGATTCGTTCTAAAAGAACTAGAATTTCCCACTTCACCTCTTACAATTTCAACTTTGCTGAGATTCAATTCAGTTATAATCCACAACCCAGTTTGTACGAAGTTCCTGATATTTGTATGATTTATTTTCTTGCAGTTCAGGGCAATGGCTGCTGCTTGGGACATTACAGCAGCTGAGTTCTTACAGGTAAATTTTACTAATGTTTGGTTTCTCAATTTCTTTGAGATTATGTGTGATTTTGTTTCTAAACTTCACATTTGTTCTCATTTTGTTGACTATAGGGTTCCCTTAGACAAGGTATACTTTTGCCAAGACAATCATCGAGGCGGGCAAGTCGTTTGCTTTGGGGTACATGTCACAGACGGAATTGGTCTGCAGGAAAATGTGATAGAAGCGTTGCCTTAAGGTCAGCATTTCAAGCAAAGGTCAAAGCTGTGGTTTCAGGGGAGGTGAGCAGCTCGGTTGATGAAGATCCTAGCACTATCCAGAAGTCTGCCGAAAATGTTATCCATTTTTACCGCATTCCATTGCTACAGGAGAGTGCTACGGCCGAACTTCTCAAGTTGGTGCAGACGAAAATTTCAAATCAAGTAGTTGGTTTGAAAACTGAACAATGTTTTAATGTTGGGCTTGATTCATTTCTTACAAGTGAGAAAATTTCAGTGCTTAGATGGCTTTTAGCAGAAACTTATGAGCCTGACAATTTGGGTACTAATAGCTTTCTGAAAGAGGAGAGGAAGTCAGGGTTGAATACCGTGATAATAGAAGTTGGGCCCCGGTTGTCTTTTACAACAGCATGGTCTGCTAATGCTGTATCAATATGCCGAGCATGCGGGTTAACAGAAGTAAATAGAATGGAGCGTTCAAGGAGGTACTTGTTATATATCAAGCCTGGGGGTAGTTCATTGGTAGATAATCAAATTAATGAGTTTGCCGCGATGGTGCATGACAGAATGACCGAGTGTGTTTATACTCAGAAGCTCACATCTTTTGAGACTAATGTACTTCCGGAGGAGGTTCGTTATATACCAGTCATGGAGAGGGGCCGGAAGGCATTAGAGGAAATTAATGAAGAAATGGGGTTGGCCTTTGATGAACAAGACCTACAGTATTACACTAAGCTTTTTAAGGATGACATCAAGCGAAACCCAACCAACGTGGAGTTGTTTGATATTGCACAATCTAATAGTGAGCATAGCAGGCACTGGTTTTTTACGGGAAAGATTGTCATCGATGGTCAGCCCATGAGTAGAACTCTCATGCAGATTGTCAAGAGCACGTTGCAGACAAATCCAAACAACTCTGTTATTGGGTTCAAGGACAACTCGAGTGCAATCAAGGGGTTTCCGGTGGAGCAGTTGCGACCGGTTCAGCCGGGTTCAACATGCCCGCTGAACCCAATTACTCGATACCTTGATATCTTATTTACGGCTGAGACCCACAATTTTCCATGTGCCGTGGCACCTTACCCTGGTGCAGAGACAGGCGCAGGAGGGCGCATCAGGGATACCCATGCCACTGGAAGGGGGTCTTTTGTGACTGCAGCTACAGCTGCTTACTGTGTTGGAAATCTGAATATTGAGGGCTCATATGCTCCGTGGGAAGATCTGTCATTCACATACCCGTCAAACTTGGCCTCCCCCTTGCAGATTCTCATTGATGCTAGCAATGGTGCGTCAGATTATGGGAATAAATTTGGAGAGCCCTTGATTCAGGGCTACTTGAGAACTTTTGGAATGAGACTTCCAAGCGGAGAAAGACGGGAATGGTTGAAGCCGATCATGTTCAGCGCAGGCATAGGGCAGATTGATCATGACCACATATCCAAAGGAGAGCCTGACATTGGTATGCTAGTTGTGAAGATTGGAGGCCCAGCATATCGAATAGGGATGGGTGGAGGTGCTGCATCCAGCATGGTTAGTGGACAGAATGATGCTGAACTCGATTTTAATGCTGTGCAGCGTGGAGATGCAGAGATGGCACAAAAACTATATCGTGCTGTTCGTGCCTGTGTTGAAATGGGAGAGAGCAACCCAATCATCAGCATTCATGATCAGGGTGCTGGTGGGAACTGTAATGTTGTTAAGGAAATAATATACCCAAAGGGTGCTAAGATTGATATCAGGTCAATTGTCATTGGTGACCACACAATGTCTGTCTTGGAGATATGGGGTGCAGAGTATCAGGAGCAAGATGCAATATTGGTGAAGCCCGAAAGCCGAAGCATTTTGCAGTCAATCTGTGAAAGAGAAAGGGTCTCTATGGCTGTTATCGGAACAATTAGCGGTGACGGATGTGTTGTTTTAGTTGACAGCTTAGCTATTGAAAGTTCCTGTTCCAGCGGACTTCCTCCCCCACTGCCTGCTGTGGATCTTGAGCTTGAGAAAGTGCTTGGGGACATGCCTCAGAAAACTTTTGAATTTCATCGCATGGTTAATGCACGGGAGCCACTAGATATTGCTCCTGGGATCACACTGATGGATTGTCTCAAGAGGGTATTGAGACTTCCTTCTGTTGGTTCGAAACGCTTCCTGACGACTAAAGTTGATAGGTGTGTAACAGGTCTTGTGGCACAGCAGCAAACCGTGGGTCCCTTACAAATTACTCTTGCTGATGTTGCAGTTATTGCTCAAACTTACACCGACTTTACTGGTGGTGCATGCTCAATTGGGGAGCAGCCCATCAAGGGTCTTCTGGATCCAAAAGCGATGGCTCGGTTGGCTGTTGGAGAAGCACTTACAAATCTTGTTTGGGCAAAGGTTACTTCTCTTTCTGATGTTAAAGCAAGTGGGAACTGGATGTATGCTGCCAAACTTGAGGGGGAAGGAGCAGACATGTATGATGCTGCCATTGCTCTTTCAGAAGCTATGATAGAACTTGGAATTGCTATTGATGGAGGAAAGGACAGCCTTTCCATGGCAGCCCATGCATCAGGGGAAGTTGTCAAGGCTCCTGGAAATCTTGTTATCAGTGCTTATGTCACTTGTCCAGACATAACCAAAACAGTGACTCCAGATTTGAAGCTTGGTGATGATGGTATACTTCTTCACATTGACTTGGCCAAAGGAAAGCGGCGTCTGGGTGGATCTGCTCTTGCCCAGGTTTTTGACCAAATTGGAAATGAGTGTCCTGATCTTGATGATGTTCCGTACCTCAAAAGAGTTTTTGAGGGGGTTCAGGATCTTATTACAGATGAGCTGATTGCTGCTGGTCATGATATCAGTGATGGTGGTCTGATTGTCAGCGCCCTTGAAATGGCATTCGCTGGGAACTGTGGCATTCGGTTGGATTTGAATTCACTAGGGAATAGTGTCTTCCAAACACTTTTTGCAGAAGAACTTGGTCTTATTCTTGAGGTTAGCAAGAACAACTTGGATATTGTAATGACAAAACTCTGCAGCCTCGGTGTTTCTGCTGAGGTTATTGGACAAGTGACTGCTGCACCAATCATAGAGTTAAAGGTCAATGAGATACCCCATTTAAATGAGACAACTGCTCACCTTAGGGACATTTGGGAAGAAAACAGTTTTCAGCTGGAGAAGTTCCAAAGATTGGCTTCTTGTGTGGATCTAGAAAAAGGAGGATTGAAGAGTCGGCATGGACCTTCCTGGGCGTTGTCCTTCACTCCAACATTTACAGATCAGAAGTATATGACTACCATTTCAAAACCAAATGTAGCTGTAATTCGAGAGGAAGGCAGCAATGGGGATAGAGAAATGGCTGCTGCATTTTATGCTGCTGGTTTTGAACCATGGGACATTACAATGTCAGACCTTCTTAATGGGGTAGTCTCCTTGCAAGAATTTCGTGGGATTGTGTTTGTAGGAGGTTTTAGCTATGCAGATGTGCTTGATTCTGCAAAAGGTTGGTCAGCTTCTATACGATTTAATCAGCCTCTTTTAAATCAATTTCAAGAATTTTACAACCGGCCAGACACTTTTAGTCTTGGGGTTTGCAATGGGTGCCAGCTTATGGCTCTGTTGGGTTGGGTTCCAGGCCCTCAAGTTGGAGGTGTCCTTAGTACTGGTGGGGACCCATCACAGCCAAGGTTCATACACAATGAGTCTGGACGGTTTGAATGCCGCTTCACTAGTGTGACAATAAAGGACTCACCTGCGATAATGTTAAAAGGAATGGAGGGTAGTACGCTGGGTGTGTGGGCTGCCCATGGTGAGGGAAGAGCATATTTCCCTGATGATGGTGTTCTCGATCGTGTTCTTGATTCAAACTTGGCCCCAATAAGATATTGTGATGATGATGGGAAACCAACAGAAGTCTACCCTTTCAATTTGAATGGCTCTCCTTTGGGTGTGGCAGCTATTTGTTCTCCAGATGGGAGGCATCTTGCCATGATGCCACACCCAGAGCGTTGCTTTTTGATGTGGCAGTACCCATGGTATCCAAAGCACTGGGATGTGGAGAAGAAAGGCCCCAGCCCCTGGTTGCGATTGTTCCAGAATGCCAGAGAATGGTGCTCTTGAGAATGGTTAGTTATTTTACTGTCAAGTGATACTGTTCTGCTCTATTGCATTTTGTGTGACCTTCAGTAATTTTGTTCAAATCCACAGAAAGGTCGATAGCTCCACAGGCATGATCTTGTTTGCTTTGATGACTCGTGTAGCTTTTGAAAGGCAGGAGGTGGATTCAGTTCTGCAGTTTAATTAATTTCTAAAGACACTCGTGGCTTGTTTGCATTCGAAGTTGAGGCAGTAGATTTTCTTCTCTCCAAATTGAGGTGCCTGAGAGAGAGAGAGAGAGAGAGAGAGAGAGAGAGATTGAATGCACAGTGCGGGTGGAATTAGTGGATGTCATCTCGTGGTGGTACACTGTTGTTCCATTGTGTTTTTCCTTTTTTTCAACTAGAAGCATGCTATTTAAGGAAACTTTTGTATCCATAATGGAAATTACTTTTTAGTTGCCTCATCCTTTTACTGCATCAAGCTGTTGCTATGAAGAGATTAATGTTATTTTGCATCAAATGGTACAGATGAGCATTTTATTTACCATACAATACACAACAAGGAAAATATTTTTTCAGCTGAAATTTATACTAAATAGTGTATGATCATCAATTGTCTGCAGGCATGTTCTTCATTTGTGGAAATACTTGCCATTATAAGAAATTCATCCTGAACTATCTGGACTTCCCTGCATGGTGGGTTCTTTTTCCTCTTAATTAATGTTTAGTAAACTAAATGCAAGGGTGGATCAGGTGCTTACTAAGGTAGGGAAGCTCCGTTCAAAGTTCAAATCGCCTACAAATTTTCTCAGAAAAGAGAGAGAAAAGCATACTCATCCACATGCCACAACCTGCAAAGTCAAGGCTAGTACACAATTTGTTTCCACGTGGAACAGAGGAAGCCGATAACACTAACTTGTTCTTGCTAGAAATGCCTGTTATGAAGCTGGCATTGACCATCTTCAGTTTAAGGTGTTGCTGCCATTGCCCATCCATGGATACAGCTGAAAGAATTCTTTTTCCACCCCCTTCAAAGGGTCCTTCTGAAAGGCTTGTTTCAAACAAATTGAGAAGTCGGGTCCTCCAGTACATTTACAAGGAGAAGATGAACGTTCATTTGGCTACAACAAGCTTTGATTTGCTGATGTATACTTTTGAGTGTGAAAGCTTTGGAGTCTGTTGCTTCAGATAATCAGATAAACGGGGTTTTGATCAACAATTGCTGTTTAAAAATCAATAGCAGAGGATCCTTAGCCCTTTTAATGGTCAAGTTGTACTTTTTATAGGTAAAATTACAATTATTTGACGGAATTCATGATCTATCACGAGTTTCCTCAAGCAATTATAATTATAACTGGACATTTTACAATATTTTAGAACCAATCACGTCCTTTGTAAGCTATAATTTATTTCTTCAAAAATTATAAATTTAACTTTAAAAAATTATAATTTTCAATACGATATTAAAGATGGTACCATAGCCTTTCTCTTGAACTCTTGAAACTATAAAGAGCGGTGTCAAAATCAGCCACTTTCAATTGATTACTCCCTTGCTCTTCTATTCTAAGGTAACATGAACGACTTGACATGATCACCCATCAGTTCAATGGGAATTTTCCTTGAATAGCATGGTGCACTGTTTGGTGAATGCGAGCACCCGGGGTTTAGCCGGTTCAATTAATAAATAAAAGGGACAAAATAGAGCCTAATAAAGCACAAAGTAGGTGTTAGTTTGTCTTCATTTGATGACCATTTTATCTATCTTTCACAATTTTCAAACATCATTCAAAGTATTAATCGATATTAATAGATGGAATTCGATTCAACATATTCAATTTTTATATCAGTTCACATCTCTTGTAAACCATGAGTCTAATGCAATTTGGTCAAGTCGTTGGAAATATCTCTGAGTCAACGCTAATTTGCCTGAATTATTATCATTAAATTTATTGGTACCATTTTACGACAATGCGATAAGGTTGGAATATGTCATAATTTTTAGGGTAAATTACACTTACCACCTTAAATTATTATCTTTGTTTCATTTTACATTTTCAACTATAAAATTTCTCATATTGCACCTTAAAGTATCAATTTTATTTCATATTACTCCAATAAACAACGGTTGTCAATTTTTTGACGGTAAATGCGCATGTGAGTGTCTATATTGTCAATAAATAAACTGCCTATTGTACATGTACATGTAAAACCAAAAAAAAATATCCATCTATAACTTTGTCCTTCTTAAGCTCTTCCTTCTTTTCTCTTCCCAGTATCCATTTGATTGTAAAAGAAGTAAAATAAAACAGTACTACGCACCTGACGGGAAGCTCTTTGAGGTTTTTTTCTCACTCATTTGACAGTTTTTCAAGTTTATTGTTATCTATTGGAATGATATAAAATAAAATTGATACTTTAAGGTATAATATGAGAAGTGTTATAGTTGAGGGCATAAAATAAAATAAAGATAATAGTTTAGAAGGATAAAGTATAATTTATTCTAATTTTTAACTTCTTCTATCTGAGATTTCATGCATATGGTTTGATACCATTCTGTGTCCCTACTATCTTTATCTCTTAGTGCCGTTCAAGTTGATGATGAATACTACAATTTTAAATTACTTCAAAAATCAAGGGTCTATGACCAATCATACAATTTATGATGGCTAATTCTAGCCATGAAATTATAATTGAATGAAAATTTTTAAGGTCACAAACGCATCTAATCTGACCTTTTGTTTTGTAGCTCTTATTTTGACTGATTACTTCTATGAAATTTCTCTCGTTTTCCACCTTTTTGGTACATAAATAGATATTATCTTTCAGCATCACAAATGACGCAACGGTAACAAATGAACACGAAGAAAACACTGTTTTTAAATGCATAGAACAAAGGTACTTTGAATTCACAGAGAAAGGATTAAGAGAATATATCTGAAAAGGTATATTATTCAATCAATAATTCGCATTACGTCAGAAAATATATATAGAAATGACTAAAATCTTAATCGTCCTCATAATAGAAGCAAAATTTCTAATTATTCGAAAAAAATAAAAAATTATAATTTAATTAATTAACATAAAAACATGTGTCGTCTGGAGTTTAAGAAAATTGACAGAACTAAATTTGGAATCTTATATAATTTATTATTAATTTTTAATTTTTTTCTTAAAATGATAAAAATAAAATTTTGAGGGCATAAATGATAAAATCGGTTTAAAACTGAAAAAACTCATAATAAACACTTGATCGTTGGTCCAATTTAGATCAAACACCACTGATCTCAATCAATTTCATGTCCGACCCATTTTATCTTTACTATCACCTTTTGACATTTCATTGGGTTTTCGACGTGCGACAATCTTCTTGTTCTATGTAATTAATTGTCACCTATTCTACATCAACACACACATATACCGGAGACAACACCGTTCCTATATCGGATAGATGTTAAGGTCTATTTATATGCTCTAAACATTAAAGAGTAAATTTAATTGCACTGAACTATTGTAACTGTAAAAATTCGAATTTAAGTATTAAATGTAAAAGTATAATTTCTTATATACCTGACCAATCACTCGATGGTCACTTTTTCTTTTAAAGAAAGGAGATTGGGGAAGTTTCAGCTAGTTCAGTCGTATGTGAGGAGGTAACAACAAAAAATCTAATCAACTTTGAGTGGAGAAGAGTAAAGCTCAAATGCCAACCTCAAGGGACTGATGAGGATTCAATTCCAAGCAAACCTACGTTTGCCATGTGGCAGGAGGCCAATCCCCATTGTGTGGCCGTTGAGCATTCAAAAGCCAATCCTCTTAACTGCCTCACTACAATAAGTCCTCCCACCGCGCTACTCTCTTCTCTGTTCCTCAAAGCACCTGCTTCAAAAATACACTTCACTCTCTTCAACCTCCCCTACCCTTCTCTCTCTCTCTCTAGATCACAGCACTTGGATTAAGAAAATAAATGGCGACCGCGGTCTCAACAGTCGGAGCTGTCAACCGTGCACCGGTATGCACTTCTTTCCTGCCATTTTTTAGGCTTCATTCATGTTCTTGGTCTCTAAACTCTTTCATCATAATTCATATTTCATGTGAGTTTCTTTAGTTTTCATGACCAGCTGGTGTCTTTTCATTTGTTATGTTTGAGTATTCATTAGATTGCTTGAAACTGTTTTCTGTCTCTTTTCACTTCTTCTGGGCATCATCTAATTAGAGAAAACAGGAGAGTAGCGGTTGGTCTAATAGCCACCGCTGCCACTGTTAGACTTAGACTATAAGGTCACGGGTTTGAACTTCGCCATCCCCTCCCTATATAATAACGCCTGAACAAACGAAAATTAGAGAAAACAGTAGTGATATCCATGAATTTCTGATTAAATGGTTGCTTATTAATTCAACAAAAGGTAAGAAATTAGATATAGATGAATGGCTCCAGATGGTATACTTATTAAGTCAATAATAAGTTTGTCTAATGACCACTGCTTCTGCTGTCCGATTATAAGGTTGCAAGTTTGCACCTCGTCGTCCTCCTCCCAGTAGTAATGCCTGAACAAACAAAAAATAATACTCCAGATGGTATACTTTTTGCTGCTGATATCATTGTTGTTTGTAACTTAAGATCGATGGATTCTTCTGATTTTTTAGTATAAAAGCCGTTTTTTTTTTTTTTGAATGATGCAGCTGAACTTGAATGGGTCTGGTGCTGGAGCTGCAATCCCAACCTCACCCTTCTTGGGTACAAGCATGAAGAAGATAAAATCTCGATTCACCAACACAAAGGTTTCATCTGGAAACTTTAAGGTTGTTGCTGAGACTGCTGATGAGAAAAAAAAAGGCAAGGACAAATGGAGGGGTCTTGGTTTTGACACATCCGATGACCAACAAGACATCACAAGAGGAAAGGGTATGGTTGACACCCTCTTCCAAGCCCCCACAGGAGCAGGAACCCATGATGCTGTCTTGAGTTCCTATGAATACATCAGTACCGGACTTCGCCAGTAAGAAAAAAAGAATGAATTTTCCTATTGTCTCAAATACGTGTTGTGTATAAATCGTATAATTTTGATTAAAAGAAAAAACTTGATGTTTTACCACATGGGTAATTATTCTTTAGGTACAACTTGGACAACACTATGGATGGTTTCTACATTGCACCTGCCTTCATGGACAAGCTTGTTGTTCACATCACCAAGAACTTCATGACCTTGCCTAACATCAAGGTGTCTGAATTCTGACCTAACTAATTCTGCAATAAATCTATGCTATTCCAATTAGATCTATTCCTCGCCCCGCTCCGCTTGACTGAATTTACATTCCTACTTATTATAGTCCAAGTAAAGAATGAGGGGTGCAAGGCTGCCCTAATTTTCGCAAGTTGTTCTTCCACTGTCTATAAAACGGAAGGGACTAGAGATGAATCCAATTGACATAGCTCATGTGTTGAAAAGAAAGAAACTCATAGTTCATCATAGATAAACAATTGTTTTGCTTGATTACAAAACACGAAAAAAGAAAGAGCTAAGCTCTTGTAAATTTCTTCTCGCCTCCCCCCGGTCACCGAGGGCAACAGCCCCACAATGAGCTCTTGCTGTTATTCGAGCAGCACCCTTCATTCTGGATAAAAAGTGTACGAACTCCTAAAAGGTGTTCTATTTGCTCGCAGCTCCCGTTTGATACTAGATAAAGTAAATCTTGGTTTTCGTTTTGCTTTTGAGAGATTTTGTTAATTAGATCACAACTCACCCTCATAAATATTGCGATTTTCTAACAGGTTCCTCTCATCTTGGGTATATGGGGAGGCAAAGGTCAGGGAAAGTCCTTCCAATGTGAGCTTGTCTTTGCCAAGATGGGCATCAAGTGAGTTCATCATTCACAAATCTTGTTCTATCTCCAACTTCAAGTCTTAGTTACATAGATACTAGTTATTATGCATAAATGATGTAGGGTAGCATGGATAAAGAAACGAAATTAGACAACAGAAACTATAACATGTTAATTATCGCAATAATATCAAATTAAAGTCTTCAAAAGCCTTGTTGATTCACCGAGAATACTAAGTCAATTGGAAGAAAAGAATTCGTCAATATGTTTATTCAAAATAATACCAACCTGCTAAATTAATTTCTCAACACAATATAAATAGGAAACTCTAATAGTTTTAAATTATTAGAAAAATCAAGCAAATAAACAAAATTATGAAAATATCCCAAACAGTGGGATAAAATAGAAAAGTGCGTAAAAAGTGTCATAAACATCGTTTTTTGGCTTAAAAATGACAGGTTGAAACATACATGCTCAGATCGTCGAGAGCTTTCCGAAATAGAATCTTTTGAAATTTTCTAACACTGTCGCCCAGAATTAGCTCTGATTAACACCCAATCAACGCTGCTGTCGATCGTCTTAATTTGTTATGTATGTAAACTTGAATAACATTCTAAATTTTACAAATTTAAATAAAAAACAGAAACCGAAGCCCCCTTTAATTGAGAATATGTTATGATGCTTAATCTTAATCTTATGGTGGTAATTTGAATCTCACTCTTAAGCTTGATCTTGCAGAAAGTAATCACTCTGCATAAAAGTTGAGAATATGTATTGATACGTTTGCTCATATGGTGGTTAATTTTTTCAGCCCCATCATGATGAGTGCTGGAGAACTGGAAAGTGGGAATGCAGGAGAGCCAGCAAAATTGATCAGGCAAAGGTATCGTGAAGCAGCCGATATTATCAAGAAGGGAAAAATGTGTTGCCTTTTCATAAATGATCTTGATGCTGGAGCTGGTAGGCTTGGTGGAACAACCCAATACACAGTCAACAATCAAATGGTTAATGCCACGCTCATGAACATAGCTGATAACCCAACCAATGTTCAGCTCCCTGGTATGTACAACAAGGAGGACAATCCCCGAGTCCCAATCATAGTCACCGGTAATGACTTCTCAACACTGTATGCTCCACTCATCCGTGATGGTCGTATGGAGAAATTCTATTGGGCACCCACCCGTGAAGATAGAATTGGTGTTTGCACTGGTATTTTCCGCACTGACAATATAGCTCAGGACGATATTGTCAAGCTTGTTGACACCTTCCCTGGCCAGTCCATTGGTAAATCTCCTGTAAATAGTCTTAAATTTGGGCATCAGTGTGACAAAATGCTCTAATGTTAGTAGGTTGACTAAGAGATGTCTCGGTTTTCACAGATTTCTTTGGTGCCTTGAGGGCTAGAGTCTATGATGATGAGGTGAGGAAGTGGGTTGAAGGGGTTGGAGTTCAGGGCATTGGCAAGAAACTCGTGAACTCAAAGGAAGGACCCCCAACTTTCGAGCAGCCAAAAATGACCATCGAGAAGCTGCTCGAGTATGGAAACATGCTTGTCCAGGAACAGGAGAATGTGAAGAGAGTCCAATTGGCCGACCAGTACTTGAGCTCGGCTGCTCTTGGAGATGCTAACAAGGATGCCATTGATTCAGGAGCTTTCTACGGTTAGCACACTTGCTCCTAGAGGTCTTTATGGGAGGTTCGCGTCTGGCCTCTTGTAAACTAATAGGCAATGTGGATTGAACAAACAGTTTTGCTGATTCATTGTGGTGTTGTTGTTGTTTTGAGTGCAGGCAAAGCAGCCCAGCAAGTGAATGTTCCAGTCGCTGAAGGCTGCACCGATCGAAATGCAGACAACTATGATCCTACTGCAAGGAGTGATGATGGCAGCTGCTTATATACATTTTAGGCCTTTTTAAGGATTTGGGTGGAAGGAGGAAAAACAGTTTATGATTAAGGATGTGAGAAAGTGAATAATATTGTGAATTAATCTCTGTTTTTAATGGATTACAAGTCCTGTAATTTTGTGGTATATTATGCACTGGCTTCATTTCTTTCTCCTTTATTATAAACTTCAGTCATTGAATTGGTTCAAGGGAGCTAGTTCTCTGCTTCTTTGAAGAGTTTTGTTTCTGTATGATAAGCATTATTTCCTTAAATTGATTCTGCAAAAGGTAAATTATACTCCTGGTTCGTTTAAGTTTTAATTTTCTCAATTTAGCCTTCAAAGTTCACACACTAAGACCCGATGGAGAAAATAAAACTTGGGATAACTTAAAGCAATGAGAAGAGAAACCAAATAGATGGCTCAACTTTGGATGAGGGTGGTTAGATTTCTTTGGAATTTCAATCAATCCTTCATGCTTTATGGGCATTTTACCACCAAATTTGACATTATTGTATGAAGACACAACTATCCATGTAGTACAAAATTTCTACCATTTGCTGATAAAAAAAAATTACAGCTATTTTCTCATAGCTTCACATTTCCTCCCCTCTTCAATTTGATATATTTTTCAAAGCACTTCGAAAGAATAAAAAAATTTAAAAGATAGTAAAAACATGAGATTTTTCATGATAATCCTCTAATTATAATTTGAGGATTTAATCAATTATAGTTGTTAGATTAAATGTAAATTTCATCTAACATTAGAATTCACAACTAATTTTATGACTGTTATTAATTAACTCTCCCATTAGGTCCCTATAATATTGCTCTACAAAATTACGTGAGTATGAAACATTTGAGTTATGACCAAAAAATCATCGGAGTTGGTGGTCTAACGGTAAGACAGACCCCATTTTAGACTCATCCTTGACTCCCAAATAATTATCAAGAAGGATTCAATTTATGGGGTCTTCATATCTTGCCACTTAGGCTACGGTGGTGGTGTGATGATAGACTACTTTAAATGAGTCTGTAGCTATAGCTAATCGAATATTCTTCATTCTATATTAGGAGAGACCTTTATAGTCACACTTAGAGGGGGTCAATATCTACTCGCCCCTCTCCCCTATTTTCTTGACCAAAAAAAAAAAAAAAGAGTTAAGACAAAAAAAAATGAAATATTTGAGTTCCTTAACGAATTATGAAAGAGGTATTCTATTTTCAAAAAAATGAAAATGGAAAGATTTTTTTTTTTAATGTAATGATCCACAATGGATGGAAATTTCTCTGATTTATCCTCATAATACACGGAAAAATCAAAGAATCAAATCTTCTATTACATTAGAAGATTGTTAATACATACATTTTATCCGGAAAAAAACGGAAGGATCAAATCTTGGGTCGAAAGTGGATACAACCGTTAAGAATGGGCTTAAACCAGACTGGCAGAAAGGCCGAAAAGCAAATCCATCATCCTTCATAGATACGATAATAAGGCCGAACTCCACTATGGGTCCAAACCAGATTCGACTGCTAATGATATGATGACACGGGTCGAAAGTGGATACAACTGTTAAGAATGGGCTAAAACCAGACTGGCAGAAAGGCCAAAAAGTAAACCGCCCACCGTGGGGCTCGAACCCACGACCACAAGGTTAAGAGCCTTGCGCTCTACCAACTGAGCTAGACGGGCTCTTTAGGGTGATTGGGTTTTCAAAATATACATAGTTGTTAGATGGCTCTATTGGACGTGGTTTCGCCTATTGGACTGGATTATGTGTAAATAAAGGTAATTCGTATTTAAAGGCACGGTATAACATAAGTGAAAAAGGATGTTGATGGCTGCTAGACGAGTCTACTTAAGACCGCCAAATGAACTTTTTGAAGTCTATCATTTTTTATATTATAGATATAACGTTGAATTTCTTTTATTACTTTTTTCTCGGAATAAAGGAGAAATGATGATGTTTGACCTTGTAAATACTTGTGGGCGGGAGTGAGCTCTTAGCACTCCCTCATCTAACAAAAATCTCTTCAAAATTCATATCGTATAGAAATAATTTTTTAAAGAAAATATTAGAAAAAAATTTGGACATCAAGTTTGTAGTACATTGATGTCTCCTTTTAGTTTGGCAATAACAAGAAACCAGCTCATTTGTTGCAACAATTTCGTATAAGAATGCTCTTCGTATGGCATGGGCAACACATTACGGATAAGTTGAATAATTCTTAATATGATCCGTCAATTCTACAAAGAATTATTAAGTATGAGTGTTCATCGGTGAATGACCCTCTTTTAAATAGAGTCTTGCACGGCAAACATCAATTGTTTTCCTACAAGAAAAGTATAAATTGACTTGAGTTTCATATTGAAAAAAAAACCAATGATGAGACAATTCGGAGGGAGAGAGAGAGCGATGGTGCTTCTTTAACGAACCAACCTTTAGAAATTGACAATGACTTAGCATGTGTGCCTGCCACTAGATTCACAAATGGAGGAATCTTTGTATTATTCCTTTTGAGAGACAAGTCCAAAAGGAAAGAGCTGTGAGAATCTATTTTCTGCAATTGGCTAATTTTTTATGGGAACATTACTATTTATTTATTTTTATTAAAAAGTGGTTTTTTCTTTTTTTTTTCAAAAAGGTGTGGGTTTTATCCCAAAAAATTTGATAAATGATAAGTAAACTCAAAAAATTTATAGATGAATTCCAGATGTGAAGTGCAAAAGTTGATAAGCTTCACCCAAAAAATAATATAAACACCTAAGAAAATAGTAAGTAGTACGGTTGTAAAATTTTTTATCAGTACCGTAGTCAAACCCATTTTTTTTAATACTAAAAAAATTTTGATATCATATCAAAAAATGATATGATCATTGATCTTTATTAATTTATTTGTAATTATTTATCTCAAAAATAATAAGTTCAAATAAAATAATAAATTACTACACATGTCACATTCACATTAGTTAAAAAAAGAAGGCATAATATCTAAAAATAAATTTTCAATTTTATTGTTGAACCATTTTTAATGAGACCACCAAATATTTGTAAACAATGTACCTTTCTTAAATTGCTTTTTTTTTTTCTTTTCCTGGTTCAACAGTCAGAGATATTTGGGTCAACTTACGCATATTTCGATTAATCCACTCTAGCACTCTATTTGCACCATTTGTTTTAATGAATAACATTAAGAAAATAGAAAGTATGCTGCTTTTTCTTTTTTAATTAAGAAAATGCATTACTTGTAAGTAGCACTATTGGCACTGGTTTTCATAAAAAAAAAATAAGAAAAATAGAAAATGTGTTACCTATTTTTTTAAAGAATAGATTGCCATTTCTAATTCAGTAATTAGAAATCGGTGCAATAACTTTGAAGTTGTTGGTTCGATCCTTAGGGCATCCACTTTGTACAAACATTAATGGAATTGAACTGGGTCCTACTTTTTTTGGGTTCGACTCTCCTGCAGTTTCACAAGAATTGGAGGATCGTTGACCTATCGTATGAATGGTCAAAATTTATTCATATACATTTGATTCAAAAAAAAAAAAAATCTCAAGTTTTTGATATTTAAATGGACTCGATACATTGACGTGGATAGATCGTAACCATGCAAATAGAATTATATTCTATTTGGTACGATGAAAAAATAGAATGATAAAAAATTAAAAAAATAGAAAGTTAGAAGGATGAAAAATCTAATCCGTCTTTTTTATATCTTTTTTTTTAATTTAAAAAAACACAATTATCTCTTAGTTTGATGTTGGTAACTGTAATTGAATGTGGGCCATCAATTGCAACAACCAAATTTGATAGACACTAGTTAGTGACTTGTGAACCGCCCTAACTTCCCTTGACTTGGTTGTCATCTTCAAGACCTTTTATTACCAACTTATTATTAAAAAATCAGAGTATTATAAGAAAAGATCTCATTAAGAAAATCAAAAAATTGTTTAAGGATAAATCAACAACATTATTTTATTGATTGATTGCTTATCTCATGAGATAACTCCACCCATGTGATTAATTTTAGGGTAAACTACATCAAATTCTCCTGAGTTATGGTCAAATGACAACAACACCCCCCAATGTATGAAAAAATAGGACTACACTCTTTTCCGTTTTAGTTGTCTGTAACATATCTCTCTGGTCGTTCATGAATCGTTAAGGACAAGTTATAGTTGTGATGATGTAAGCACCTTGAAATTGGAAAATACCAACATTACCCTCAATAAACCCACTTAATATTTTTACTGGGCATTCTTTCTCTTCGACCCTAAGGGCCTGGTTGTTTGAGGTATAAGATTTAGGTGATATAAGATTTTATATTTATTCTATTTCGATTCAATTGTATATTATACCCAATTTTAAACTATAATCTCGTCATTCCCCTTGTTTGTTTGTCACAAATAATATCTACTTAAAAAAATCAACAATTGCAACTACTCAATATAAAAAGACATTTATAACCTTAAAAAAAGTCAAAAATTATAACTGATTTTTATATGAGGCATTGTACATGAGGGCATTTGAGTCTTTTTACTCTATTATACCTCCATACCAAGAATATAATATCAGGTATTGCTTAGCACCGTATACAAGGCATAAGAGTTACTGTTCACACCGGGTCAGTATTATGACCCGAAAATTAATACCGAGTAAAAAATGTCAAACAAACAAGGTATAAAATAAGTCCCACGTATTATTTTTTTTATACCACCCCCTTATACCATCTTTATATATCTCAAACAAACAACCCCTAAATGTATTATTTTTTATAAATGAGAAAGTCTCGTTGTTATTTGACTATACCTTAATACTTCGTTTGGTACGTTAGAAAAATAAAATGATAGAAAGTTAAAAGGATGAAAAACTGGATGGATAAATAAAAATATCGTGTTTGGTAAAGAATAAAAATAATAAGGATGAAAAAGTTGGTGAATTAACTTTCCTTCCGCCTCATCTAAATCCATCTTTCCACATTTGGGAGAAAAGTGGATGAAAAATTAACTATGTGT